CAATGGAGGTCTAGGAGATTAGGCTTCAAGATCTCCCGGATGCACGAATACAGGGGCCTGAACAATCAGAACAGGGTTATGGGGTAGATTGTACTAGAATAATACAAGGGGAATGCCAAGGAAGACTATTTCTAAGTGCTCAGGCCCATTTTTTAAACAATAATCATCCCGATCGAAGAAATGTCGCGACACGGTGCAGCAGGTCTCCCCACCACAGGAAGGGTTTAGGGAGTTTCGGATTTAGGGCTTAATATAGCTGCCTTAATCATTACCATTACCAATATATCTTCGGGGTTCCTGATTATATTATAGTATGATGCGTCCCGAAACCCTATTCTAAGTAATAAGGCCCCTATGTTGCGGTTCAGGATGAGTTGGCAGAGGCTGGGGGTTGTTTAGGGCCTCAGTTTTTGGTCTATCGCCCTCTAAAACCGGATCTAGGGTAGAAAGCTGGCAGTCAGCCTGGGCCTGGCTTCAACACAAGACGTCCAGTTGCTCAGCTCCCACGAAACCCCAGAATCATCTACAAGCCTAAGAGACCCAAACCCGCAAAGCATCCAAAACCCTTAAGCCATAAACTCTAAATCCCTAACCACATAAACCCCAAAGATCCGAAACCCTGTATAATCTCTAAACCCTAGCAAGAAATCCTATACATCACGGGTGAGCTACTCGAAAGCTCCAAAAGCCCACACATGCAACCCATTTTAGGGTTTAGGGTTTCGGGTGTAGGGTTTGGGGTTTACGGACTGGTGTTTATAGGCGCTGGAAACACCAAATCGTGTCCCACCGAAGCCCAGCGAAAAAGCGTCTGGGGACCCACGCCGCAATACTGCCCGCAACGCTGCCCGAACGGATGGAGGGGACGGGCATGTTGGCATCGAGGACCGCTCTAACAATCTAATAGAATGTACTGCTCTTGTTCTTGCCTTGGATAGGGGAGATTTGTCCCTACGCCCTAAAGCACTAAGTCACGGTCAAACACCGCACGGCTGGGTGAGTAAACTCTCCGAGGGTTACGGGTGAGAGCTGCAGGGGATTAGGCTTCAGCAGCATAGTATAGGGGTGTGCAATTTGGTAAGGCTCGTGGGTCCAAACAAGCACGCTACATGTATTCATACAAACGATCTATCCATTCGTGAATAGATGTGTGCGAATGTCTACATATCTCTATATGTACATATATATATACATATATATATATATGTATATGTATATGTATATTGCATGTGTATCTATATATATATATGTGTTATGTATACAAATCTATCTACACCTCTCTTTACAAATAAGGCTTTTTGGACGACTAGGAGCTGTCTGCTCTACGGGGGCCATGCACATAAGTAGGAGCTATCAGAGGAAAAACGCTCGTGCGGTGGCTCCTAGGGCCTGCCTAGATGCTGGGAGCCGGTCGGTTCGATGCAGGTTTAGGGTTTAGGGTTTTAGGGTTCCCGGTTTAGGGTGCAGGGTTTTGGGTGTTGTTCATTCCGGGCTTAGGGGTCTCGGCGCTTAGGGGTTGAGTAGAAGTTTAAGGGTTTACCTGTTTAGTAGGAGCTATTAAATTAGTAATTGGGACTTTAGGGGTTCAGGTTCGGTGCTTCAGGGCTTAAGGGCTGCTGCCAATCTGCAAAAGACATCTTCTCCACCTCCGCAGCAAGGTTGATTAAGTCCACGATGGCCATGCGGGGCGCCTTCTTGTCCATCCAAACAGCGAGCAACTTCGTGACCTCCGGAAGGCCCTCTGCATGTGGGTGGTTGTCCAAGTTAGGGTCCCTTTTTGGGTCCCTATTGTAAAACGGCACCTTTTATTTAGGGTAATTACCCCCCAAAAGGGACCTTAATTTTGACAACTACCCATGTGGGAAGACGCAGATGGCCTTGTGCAAGGCCATGACCTCCCTGCTGATGAGAGGGCTTGCATCCTCTTGCCGACCGATGTCAAAGTCCGGAGCCATGATCTGCTCTGCGCGGCCATTCAAGACCTCCGCGGCCAGAGCTGCGAGCGGAGCAAAGGAACTTCCACGCAGACCGGCACTCAACTCGAAGAGTCGTAACTACATTTTGGCAAACGCCGAGGAATACAAGTTCATGTTGAGTCGAGTCCTGAATCCCAAGTCTAAGAATTTACATTCACGAAGATCTCGTATCGGCTTACACTTCTTGGGTGACCCGATGCTCTTGCACCATCTGTGCATCTTGATGCCACAACAGCCCTAAACCTTAAACCCGACTGTGTGACACCCTGGACACTAACACTGGGTGTTAGGGCTGTAGGGGTTTAGGAGTTTAGGGTTCGCCCTATGCCATGGTTTGGGCTGAGAACCTTTGCTACGTTTCGAGTGAGGCAGTTTCCCGAAGGTAGAGGAGTGTATCATGGGGCCAAAGATACTGGCTATATGCTTATGATGTTGTCGGGAAATCAGATAGACCACGCAATAGATTCCCGCTGATGCACGTACACCCGAAATACCAAACCCTACACCAGGAATCAAGAACCACGCGCCTTCAAGAGCCATGGTTAGGGGCTTAGGAATTCCTGCTGCATGAGGCCCAAAATACCCCTTGAATAAGGAATGTACCTTAGATCAGAACATCACCCCCCCATCCAGCTCGATGTATTGAAAGCACCCGAAGGTGCCCTGGACTCTAAGCTTGTGATTGAGGTTTAAGCGGTTTGCGGTTTAGGGTGTAGGAATATGGCACCCAAGTTAAACACACCGAAGATCAGCAGTCTCAGCGCCAAAACTGTAAACCCGGGACCCTAAACCACGGTTCATTCGCATCTAAGCAACATTCTGTGAACACGTGTACATTGAAATAAGACACTGTTATATGGGAGTTTCAACCTATCATAATATAGTACCTTAAATAATAGGAACCTTGTTATAACCTCTAATTTTCAGAAACTCCCATGTAGACGATGACATGGCTGAAGCCCTGTGGTCCCGATACTCTCGACAAGAATTGCATCCCGTCTCCTTGGAACGCTGCTCTTCACTAATGGCCTTGACCATCGTGGCCTGGGCTTAGACTTTAGAGGTTTAGGGTTTGGACTGCCTGCAGGGGTTTTTTTCCGGGGATGGTCGGACTCGATGAGTGCACTCGCGGCATGCAGGTCCCTTAGATGCAATGCATCCACTCGTCTGGTAGGTTCCCCAAGACGACCTCAGGTCCGTCAGGGGGTTCACCTAAAGTCGGACTGATGATGAAGCGGTCTGTGCAAAGAAACGCTTTCCATCGTCCTATCGAAAAGGTGACGGCGCTTGGCGCTCGTCCAAAAGTGGCAACCTGCACCAAAACCAGTACAAGGTCGCGGAGCTTGTCGGATTCAGTCAGCAAAGCGAGGGGTAAGTCCTCTTGTCCACATCCCTCAAAAGCGCGAAGCTGAATGGCGGCACATACTGAGCCAGGCAACTCAGCAGGCTTGTGCTTGAAGGCACAGATGAGTCGCTCTAGGGGGGCCTTCCATGGAGGAATCGCAGGCAGGTCGGGAGCCATGGAAGGGACGGGGTTCATGGTGGCCCACCAGGGTTGTGGTCCTGGGGCTTTGATAGCCGGCCTCCATGCGCATCGAGGACCCTGTACGAGGGTCTGAGACGTAATCTCGGCTTCCTCGTAGGTCCGTAGGCACTTCTCCGTCCGACGGAGGTGTTGCCGCAATCTCTCCGTCGTCCAAAATTCGGTGCCACAGCATTGGCACAGGCTACCGTCTGCCACCTGTGTGGCTCTAGACTGTATGCCGTGCGTTTTGCAGATATGGGCAGCACATGCGGCTTCAGACCGGAAGGTCTGCCGACAGTAGGGGCATGTGGCCGTAGGCGCAGGTGTGGGTCCACAATCCGGGAGCCGCCCGAAAATGTGGCCGCCGGCCTGCGCTGCCTGAAGGGCGTGCAGCTGTAGCAGTCGTCGCGGCCGCGCAAGCAATCTTGCCTTGCGGCAATTGCGTAGGTAGGCCTTGATGATTCCTCTCGCAGCATCGGGCTGTGTGGAAATGTCATGCTGCAGACGTTCCGCCCCGAGGTTGAGAGCAGAGCCGACGATTTCATAGGCCTGTAAGAGGTCGGAGTGCCACTGATGCGGCCGGAACCAGAGGCGGCTGAGGGCAGGAAGATTTTCAGCATGTATCCATGCTGCAAGCCGTAGCATCTCAGCATGGCGCATTTCCTCAGCCGTAGCCAGTCCTAGAACAGTGGCAACATCGGAGTGGGTGAGTCCTCGCACGGACATGCCGGTAGCGGCACGAAGGAGGCGCCGAGGGGCCTCGTAGTAAGCCGCCACAAAAAGGTCACGTTCCTGCTTGGTCTCGAGGGACCACAATCCAGCTCCGTGCTTGAAGCGTGCCATTGGCATCGACTGCATCAGGTGGATGCGCTCCTCCTCTGTAAGCTCGGAATTTTGGAAAAGTTTTCCGAGCGGGCCGATCATTTCGCGAGCTAGCGCCGCTCGGCGTTTCAAGTCAGAAAGGTCCGAGGTGGAGACCTCAATGCGCGAGCCTAAATGAACATAGGCGTCTGTCAGGCCGACGGAAATGCACTCGCCGTTGGGCAAGTTGACAGAAAGCGTGGCATTGCGTTCACAGAGCCATTTGCGCTTTGCTGCGGCACTGTGTGGTCCCCGGAACATCGGCACTATTTCTGTCTTACCTGGGTCCAGATTAAGCTGAACTCCTAAGGCCCGTAGTTCTTGAAAGAGCTCACATACAGCAAAGGAGGCAGCTTCCATTAAAAACTCAGGCTCGGAGGAAGCAAGGGGAATGGTGAGATCATCGACCCAGCTGGGGAAGGGAACTCCCAACAGGTCCTGCATGGTAGCGCGGTGAGCGGCGCGGGCGCCCACTTGCTGGCATATCTCTCGAACTTTGCGCTCCAGTCTTGTCATTGCCCCAGAGAACAGAATCTGGAATTCCACGTCCGCAATGGGACTGCCTGGAGCGGTGCCAGTCCGTGTGCCAAAAAAGTGGGTCTTTCCCTGACCGGACATGCTGAACCAGGTGCTCTGCATCATGGCGCTGAGGACGCGACGAACAGGTGCGGGGACGGCACCTTGCTGTAGAAGTCCTGGGCCAAGCGCAGCTGTGGTGAACGCCAGTCGTTCCTCAGGGCTGTCATACAGATCATCTGCGAGCTTCTGGAGGAATGCAGAGGTGTCGCCCCCTTCGGCTCCAAGTAGAGCCTGGCGTGCAGTGGCATAGAATGCAGCACGACAGTCAACGAAGAGAAGCGCACAGTTGATGCCAGCATCCCTGGCAAGGCGAGCGAACCCTTTGGCCAACGCCATGGGGACATGGAGTGGGTTTTTAGGACGTCCGCCGCATTGCCCCTCTGAGCGTGGGTCTCCAAGCACTGCACCAGTGGAGCTCGCAGAGCCTTGCAGACGCCCTTCATGGACGCCTCATGCAGGATGATGCTCCGCCACCCTTCGAGGGTGCTGGGATTTTTGGAAGGTTTCGGTATGGCAACCGCTCGCCCCCCCCTCCACAAGGCCGGCGCCGTACCATGGGCCTGTGTCTTGAGCAGCAGCGGGAAGTGAGCCATTGCCGCGCCAAGCGCGTCGCCGCTGAGTGCTTCCGGAGGTATGCCTGAGACTCCGGCGGCCCGCCGTGACTGCAAATTGCCGTATCCATGCGCCAGGGCAGATAAGGACAGGCCGGGATCGACCTCGAGAAAAGCATCAGCCGCAGGGGCAGCCCTGGTATGGATGTCGTCGGCCGTGCACTCGAGTGCTCGTTCTGCCTTGGCAAAGTTGCGGCCTAGCTTGAGGTACGGATCGCTGCTGTGGCCGTCAGCTCCCTCAATACTGGGGCACAAGGCAGGCGGTCGGTATCTTCTTCCTTGTCTCAGCACGCTTCGGAAGGCCCGGTAAAGCTGTTCAGGGCCTTGTGTTCTGGCCTCTTTGATGAGCAGGCGCGCCGCCTCAGTCGCATCAGCCCGAGTCTGTCGGCGGATAAGCACGGACAGGTCACGTAGCTGGGTGACCAGGAGTGCCTCGTACATGTCCATGGCTGTGTCAGTCGAGGTTGTGCGATGGGCCCAAGCTCCGAACACATTGGCTAACAGCCGTTGACGGCGTTGCAGGCTCAGGGCATGAAGGTCTCGTCTCAAACTGCGGCGATCACATACAAGCTGCCAGGTCGATGCCTGTATAACAGGCGAGCGTGGTCCCTGGTTCTGAGCTGGGAAGGCCTTGAGAAGGGCCTTCATGAGGTGTTCATTGAGGGCACGGAGATGCTGATCAACTGGTAGGTGCCACGGAAAGTGAGGAAGGCAGTCATAAATCTGTCGGAGCCGCGCCCGCCCTGCGGGCGTGAGCATTGCTTTAGTATCTAGCCTGGGTCGGGCATACTGTCGTCGGGCATGTCTTCGGAAACGGATCCGGACGGTCACTGGTCGATGGTCGAAATCGCTTTGTCCCCGGAAGTCGACCAAGCAGCCCTGAACTAGTAGTCCGGAGTGTATGGAGGCTGGGCAGGCGATAAAGTCTAAGCATTTGGGCTGCTGCAGCGGTCCGATCCAACTTTCGACTCTATCCCCAGCGGGGGTAACGTTGGCAGAGGCAACGAGCTGCTGCTCATCCAAGAGTTGGGAAAAAGCCTCGGCATTGGAGTTGAGGGCGTTGGGAAGTGCCGGAGGCGTCCGTTGCCATGCAAAGTGTGCGTTCGCGTCTACCATCAATACCGGGAAGTGGTCGGACGGAGCTCTGCGAAGGGCTGATTGCAATTCACTCCACCAGGCCCTGCAGGCCTGTTCAGAGGCTTTGGACGTGAGGGCGTGAGCTGAAATGAATGCAAACTTGAGGGAAGCAGCTCTAGCGGTGACAACAAGCACCCTGGGGGTGGCCCATACAATTGCGAATGTGCCTGGGTCCCAGTATATCGCCCCCTTGTTATCGTGGGCCACCGGCACTGTTTTTGACAGCCACACCTGACAGCCGTCTTGGCCGGCTTGTGCTTCGCTAGCAAGGACGTGGAAGCGTGCGGTGGCGCTTCTGCCTTTGATGGGGGCGCGAGTTTCCTGCAAACCCACAACACAGAGGCCAGCCGCGTCGAATTGCGCATCCAGGCTTTCGCGCTGCAAGACAGTAGCAACCGTCAAGCAGTTGTACGTAGCGATGCGCATGTCAACCTTGGTCAGTTGCGCCGGTTGCTCGGTAGTGAACTGGTGACATTGAGCAAGGGTGATCGGCGTAGGGCGGTCTTGGCTGGGGCCAGCTGCAAGAATGCCATCTTCCTGAATGTGGGGCAGCTCGCGACACATATTGGAAGCAAATGCAAGCCATGGGAGCACGGCCTGGCTACTGGAGAGGACCAAGCTGGTCGGCACCATACTGTCATCGGAGGAGTGTGCGAAATGCTTTGCCACGCAATCCGCAAGGTCATTGAAGGCGTGCCCCGTGTGCGAATCAATGTGTAACTTGGATGGCATCCGACCTTGCAGCCTGAGCATGTGGGAGAGTGCAACTCCGGCGTGCGCCAGATCACTGGGCTGATCCTGCATGGCTTCTCCCGTGGCAACCTGGAGGGCTGCTTCCCCAATACATCCTGGTAACCTATATAGCAGGTTACTGGGCCCAGTGCCCGGAATAGGGGATGTTTGCCCGCAAGAGACCCTACGCCAGGAACCGAAAGTGGTTCAGGAACCATAGGTATATACAAATTACAATATATACTATATAATTTAGCTATAATATATATATATATACTAAAATATACTATGATATACTATAATATACTTATACTATATATATAATAATATATACTATAATATCTACCAAAATATATATACTATATTAAAGTATATATACATATACTATACTATACTAATATGGATTGAATTGAAGCCACGGGCTGGGGTGGTTGTGTGGTCAATAAGCACTTTGCAATTGCCGCCTCGCTCGTTCAAGCTACCGTACTAGTGTAGAATCCCGAAGCCGTTACCGCCAAATCCCTAATCGCCCTTAAACCCGCTAGACTGCACCCATTAGAGGATCTTCTGACTGTGGATATCGATTGAAGATCTTACCCTTACGAGGTTTCCGGCGGGTTCATACGAAAACACCTCCATATGGCCACACCCTTGCAAACCGGAACCCTGAACTCCCAGAACATCTTCATAACCCGGGCCTCCCGCGAGGATCCCCTTAAACCCTACCCTAAGGCTCCAGTTACCCAAAAAATGATAGAGGTTACTAGCCATTATTATATTATCCCAGCAACCTACTATTAAAGGTAACTGGAGCCCTAGGCTAAACTCTAGACTCTAGACTATAAACCCCTAAACCCCACAATCCTAAACCCTCGAAGCTTTGGCCGAGCGATTTTCACTGCAGCGGACGTCGCTGCGATCGCACCAGCTCCCGAGGTTTCTCGGCCACGACCCTTCAGGGGCAGGGCCTTAAGGGAATACGGAGCTCGAGGTTTGTAATTATAGGGGTATGCGTAGGGACGGGGTCTTTGTAACACCCAGATCCTGAGCAAACTTCGCTTTAGCACACGATGTTCAAAGTGAGCACCAGCACGTGCTTTGACACAGACAGGTTTAAGCAAGCCAAGGCTGTCTTCCTGCGAGAAGCAATGTTGAAATCGCGAATTGTAGCCTGAGTCGGCCAGTTTGAAGCCTATGGTGTCGAGCAAATGCCTTTGGAATCAAGGTATTTAACAACAAGCTACAAAAGCTGTTCATGGATGCAGCAAGCCACCCTCGGACCGGATGTCCAGAAGAGTTTCTTCGTATGCCTAAGAATGCATATGGATGGACCCAACCGCCCGGTCTTCATTCAACAAATATTCAATCACACAACATAGGTACCGAAACAGGCAAGGGGCGTGCATCTTTGGCCGAAGGAAAAACCTCAAGCGGCCTTCGGCAAGGAACCTTCTCGCACACTCACGATACAATACCAGGAATCGCATACCACGGGTGTAGAGGTCTTCGGATTCCACCGTCGTCAGAAAACGTGGCAGCTTTTCAGAGAGCAGCTGCCAATCAGCGATCGTATGCCTAGCTCACTGGATTGAGGGGTTTGGAGATTTGTGGCAAAGGGTTTTAGGGCTCCAGGGTGCAGGGGTTACTGATCGAATTCAATTTGCGGCTCCGGGCTTCTGGTTTAGTTTCGGATTTGGAGGCCTAGGCATTGGGTGTCCGTACACGTGCTTTCTTCTACGACTACATGGTATGTAGCTATATGTGCCCATATATACATATAGGGTCACGATCCTATAACTTATCAGGGCAACACTTCAAATCTCGTAAAATAGTATCAGCACAGATGCACAGTGCTGCATATCAGGCTCGTAAGCTGTAGCCGCTGCTGGTATGCTGGATCATCCTCATTTTGCAGTCGGGCCCTCAAAGCAGCTTGCGTCGACGAAGAGGTCATTGCATCCTTTGGAATTTAGAGTTTACTTTCTTCGGGTTTAGGGCTGGGGTTCGTAGATTAAGAATTCTCGGATTATCTGGATACTCGTATGGTTTAGGGCTGTGGCGGTCTAGGGCCTCGGGGTTAAGGGTTGGGGTGTCGCATTGCCCTGGGATTAATACTTAAGGGTGGCTTCATAATGCCAGCCAACACTCTGCAAGCCAGGCCAGCACCACTCGACAATTGTAGGCTTTTGCTGAGAGGAACGGATAGTCAGTTTGCTTGTCGGCGCCGGTGGCATAGTGAAGGTTTGCTGGCGTGAAGGTTCTTTGGGAGCAGGAGATACCATGAATTTTGCAATACCTCTTGAACTCGTTGAAGATAAGGCGAAGTTTGTCTGCAACTTCGGTGATGCCATCGCAATATACATTGTGTTCCATGAGCCATAAAATCCCCTCCGCACATAGATTCTGGAGGATTCCAAGGTTGAGAATGTGCATTGTGCATCCTCGCCTGAGATATAGGTCAGGGAATTAAAATATATGACCAATTCACTGTTTACTTAGGGCTTGCCCCCCTTATTAGGATTAGGTTGAACGACCAAAATACCCTAGGGCTCCAGTTACCTTAATAGTAGGTTACTGGGGTATATAGTATATGGTTAGAAACCTACTATACAGGTAACTGGAGCCCTAGGGTATTTGCAGTTACAATTGCAAGTATAAGAGTCAGCATCGCCACATGGAACCCCGGGATGAGAATCATGGGGTTTGGGCTGGCCGGAAACACGTGAAGAAGTGCATCTGTATGGGAAAGGCGGACCCAGTCTGCTCCGAAGTTTGTGTAGAGAACTCCATGGTTTGCCAATCGGCCGGCGTTGCAACGGTGACAGATCAAACCCCGCTGCCAGTTGCGAAGTAGGCCAAAAGTCTCTCTCATATACTTTTGATCACCCTTGTATTCGGTAACCGCATACCGACCCGAAAGTTCGGGTTTGCTTTCAGCCAGCTGCAATTGCCTTCTGCTCAAGTCCGAAGCTGTGCCGCTGGGGCCTGCTTTCGGGCGACGGCCGCTAAAAGCCACCGAAAAGCTCCATGCGGCCCTGTGGTAGATCGGCCTCAATGTCTCCTCCAAATGAGAATGTTAACAAAGCATTAATTATGCGATCCCCGAAGCCACAACCTCTTAGTAGTCGAAACCGTGTCAAGTAACCGTCACAAATTTCTCCTCGCCAGCACAGTAGAAGGAGTTCACAACAAAGTATGTAAAGTTCTTCTTCCATGGCTCGCCTTTACAGGGATGACGTAACGATAAGGCTGGGCTGCGATCAGCTAGCTAGACCACGTATTTAGAGAAGAATATGTCCTAAACCCCGATTCACACCGGCCTTTGCATTTGTGCAGGGTGAAAGTGAACATCAGTGCGAGAAACGAATCTCCCTGCTTCGTGAACTGAGCCTCGTCCCCATAGACCTGAATAGAAAGCCCCTTAAGGGTTGCGATTTTGGGATTCCGGATTATAGGGTATGCGAAATATTGTTAGTTGGGGTTCCAAGGACCTGGGGCCCCTAAGGGTGCATAGTTGTTGTCCGAGGTGCAGAGATGGGAATGCAGTGCTCGTCAGCAGGATGCCGGACGGCCCAGCCCACACCACGGGATCTGAAGTGATTCCAATACCGCCTCAAGGGATGCTAAAAGCTATTGTGATTGATTTAGGGAGTGCTTCACTAACAGGCTTGGGCGATTAAGAAATAGGTTTCGACCTAGATGCACGATCTCGTCGTCAGGGATATAGATTCGCTGCGTGGACCATATGTACTCGATGTATTCGTGGGGATCCAGAAACGGCAGAGCCTTCTCGACCCTTTGTTTTGGATCTTCAGGATGGAGGATAGGTACGGTAACCCAGTTGAAGTCCTAAGTGGTCAGGGAACTATATGACTTGTAAGACAGGAATCATTGGATCGATTGGAATATTTAGTCAGGGCACGACAGGAAGTCTCAAATAGCGAAACAAATCGCGATCACAGTTCGCCAGCCGCTTGTGGTTGTACATCTTTGCGACCCGGGCGGTGACGGGACTCACATTCTCGTTTCCAGCTTCCTTGCAGTATGCACTTCAGAAACAGATGATCAGCCTGTGCACAAGTGCATTATTCGTTATTCTACGGCCCACCCTTTGGTCCTGGACAGCCGCATAAGCATTTTCCACGATGGCTTTGGCACTCTGCCGACCTTCGCCCAGCGACTTGAACCTAAGCTTCTACAAAGTATGTCAACACACCCAGCCACCCCGGACAAGCTAAGCAACTACGGAATTACCGGGGATCGCACATGTGAGTAGCCAGTGCAACATTCTCCTCAGAACTTTCATCGCCATCAGACTCCAGCTCGATCCCTGCGGTGGGCGAGGGCCGGATAATCAAACGAATCCACCCACAAGCAGATCTAGATTGAAGCTTCAAACGTGCATTCCGCCCGGCCGAGGTTTCTGTTTATGGCATCGGCGGCTGCAGCAGTTGCACGAGGCTCGCTCCTCGTTGTCCCCTTTATTTAAAGCACTCAGACCTACAACACGATTCGCCCTCTCCGGAGCTTGAGTGCTGCAACCCCACTAGTGGTAGGATTCTTTGGCTAGCTGCTTGAGGCCCGGGCTTAGGGTTTAGGACAGCATAGTGTAACAGTCCTGGCGCTTAAGAATTCAAGGTCCAGGGTATAGCTGGTTGTACTGTGTGTAGCAGCCCCGGCCCCTGACCCATAAACGGTTTTCAACCTACACCTCTGCCCTACATGCACACAAGCACCTATGAGAAGGATGTTCGTGCCCTCCACGAGTGCGTATGATCTGTTCCGACGGTTTCGTCTGATCATTTGCAAAACTACTTTGCTCCTGCCTTCGCCTTTGCCTTGGGTTTTGCCTTTGGTGGCTTAGCAGCAGCATTGGATTTCCTCTCAGCAGCACGAACCGGCTCAGAGGCCGTTCTGAACTTCTTCAGGGCATCTTCGAGCTCCTTAACTACTTACAGCATACAGTGTGGTATCCATATTGTATGAAAGTGTTGCATCGACAAAGTTTGGTATTTAGCCAGGTGACATGGAAAAGAGGCTTCATCGAATCTTCCGGAAGCTTCTGGCCGATGGCAATCGCAACCTTAGTCTTAACCTTCTCCAGGTCGCACTTCGCGGGGTCCACATCGGCCATGATGGCCGCCTTCATGTGGCTGGCCCTGGGACAATGCTGGTAGTTTAAGGTTGTAGGGTCTGGGGTTTGGGGTTCGAATAAGACCGCGAGTTTAGGAGTTTGTAGAGGTTGGGGTTTAGGGGATCATAAGGTATGTATAGGAGTTGGGGTCTGGGGTTTAGGGTTCGAGGCTCTAGACCTAGAGTATAGGATTTAGAGTCTCATAATTATGGATCTCTAGAGTTCTTTTTCTCTACTCGGCAATTAATAGAGACTGCCTAATAAGCCAGCCCTAGCGATAAGCTTGAAGTTGCCAATCCCAGGCTGCAGTAAATCAGGATGCACATATACGTATACAGTACTGATGGAATGATGCATAGGTAGTGTGTACCGACCCTATAAACCCTTGACTACTTGACGAGTTTCTGATAATGCGTAAGACAGCAGGATCTCGGACTTATGACCCAGGGCTTACGACGAGGGTTTCGGGGATGTGTGTCCCAGGGGTTTTCGGGCGACCTCGGGCTTGTGGCTCTCGGGTTTTTGCTAATTAAGGGCTCAGGGGTTTACGAGTGAAGTGCTTGTTCAGGGTGCCGGCCAGGATACTGCAGAGTCATAATATTTATATAATAGGATACCTTTTGTTGGCTAGGGTTAAGGTCTAATTTATGGGCCCAGGTGCACACCAGCAGCGGTCAGGATCTGCTTGAAGCCTTCATACTCAATGATCTCCTTGTTCGCCCGCTTATCAGCCTTGGTAAGCAGCTATGTACGACGGTTTCATCGTACTGTCTAGGGGGCTTAAGGTTGCAGGAGTTTGGGGTTATAAAATCGAGGGTCTATGCGGGCTCTGTAAGGATATTATATTGTAAGGTTTCTGAAGTTTGGGGTTTTGGGTTTGGGGTTCGTGGTTTAGGGTCTAGGGGGTTGGGATCTATATGCAATCCGTTCAAGTGGCATCCTGGGCTTTGTCCCTCCAAGTCTTCTCCTTCTTTGCCTTCTTCGGCTCGCGGGGTTTGGGGTTCGGCGGTGGCACATTGCCATCTGTAGGCGCCTGCGGCATCTCTTGGTCCATTAAGGCCTCCCTTGGCACACGATCAGCAGCTAGCAAAATATACTTACACGATTGTTTGATTTCATCGAGTGTATATAGTACTAGTACCCGACAAGCCACATTGCATCATGCATGTCTTCTTCATCCACATTCTCTGCCTCCATCTGGAACTCGGCGGAATTCTCAAAGGTTTTCTGGGAGATGTCCTTGATCGTGTCGAAGCTCTTTAGCAAGGTCATTTCCTGCACATCGATATCTAGAAGGGCTATCCCTAGGGCTCCAGTTACCTTAATAGTAGGTTACTGGGGTATATAGTATAAAGTTAGAAACCTACTATATAGGTAACTGGAGCCCTAGGGTATGGATCGAAATCCAGAAGCCCCACCGTAGAGCCGTAATCCCTACTACAAAGCCCCCTCTCCTCAACCTTCGGAAAGTTCGGGTGCTTCTGCAACAGCTTGCCGGTCATGCGGGGGTCGATCTCGAGGTGACGGGAGTACAAGTCGTTGGCCAAACCGTCGCCCAGTTCCGCCCTCAGAAACTTCAGGGTCTTCCAAACGTAGATTTCCTCCTGCTTCTTCTGCCTCTTGCTCCTTCCAGCATAGCCACTACAGAAATGATATCAAATAGTTTAGGACACATTGGCCTTGGGTGTTCTGGGTTCTATGAGTCGACCCAAGACCCAACTGTAACTAATATACTAGTATTACTGCATAATTATCACCTTACCAATTAAAAGGTTTAGGACTCAAGGGCCTGGGGTTCTGATGCTCTAGGTGCTAGCTTTCATACATACTATAGTAATTAATGACCCCTAATTAGCTGCCCGATCCCTGAAACTCAAAGGCAGATGTTCTGTCCCCTCCCGGAAAGCGCCTATATTCTATGTGTTGTCCCAACACGAGTACCGAAGCTCATGATCTAGTATTGGTTAGTGATAGTATACCTAGGGCTCCAGTTGCCTAAATAGTAGGTTACTGGGGTATATAATATGTGGTTAGTAACCTACTATTTAGGTAACTGGAGCCCTAAAAGTATATAGATCTGAATGCAACGATATTCATAAGCCCCGATGCCACCCAAGCCTGAAACCCCGGACCCCGCCCGAAACCCCAGCATGAACCCCCTAAGCATATGAAGCTTTACACTCCTCAGCCTTACAGCTCGTGATTCTGCTAGGTTTCTGAGACTTCGGCTGGGGGTGTTTATTAGGCATTCAGGGTTTTGGGTTGAGGCCTGTAGGGTCCAAGACCTTAGCTAGCCGATCGCGAAGCTTAATAAGCTTGCTTGATCACTAATGCACTGGCCTCATCGTGATCACCACGGTGCTCTTCGACCATTCCGCCCGGCAGGACAGATAGTGCATGTACATCTCGTGCATGCGATTGTTGCGATCCGAGCCTAGGTGTGCACATACGTGTTATGCATATATTATTGTGTTAGTATAACACACACACACACACACACACAGCGGCTACATATCATATCTAGGTCTATCATTAAAGCATATTCCACTATTTCCCGATAAGTCTCTTCGCTCTGCATCAGCCATCTTCTGGCGAACTTCTGGCGGCGCTTTGGGGCCTTAGAGGTGTACAGATCATGCACCTTTTTTGCCGTACCATGCGACTCCCGATTCCTTTCTGAGAAACAGGCTCCGACCCGACCGATAGAATCTGGCGTACAATGCAGGCGGAGATAGGATAACACCGTACTTGTCCCTCCTCCACGAGTCGTCGGTGTTCGGCACCAGCTGGTTCGCCTGCTGCACTGGCGGGGGTGCTTGGCCACCAGCTGCCGTGTCTGCACCACTCTGCTGCTTGTCTTGTGGAACACTCGTGCTCGGCTTCTGTTCCGGAAGCTTCGTGCTCGGCTTGTCTTCTGGAACCTCCGTGCCTGGCTTGTCTTCTGAAGCCGTGCTTGGCTTGTCTTCTGGAACCGTGCTTGGCTTGTCTTGTGGAACCGTGCTTGGCTTGTCTTCCGGAACCGTGCTTGGCTTGTCTTCCGGAACACCCGTGCTTGGCTTACACCCGTGCTTGGCTTGTCTTCTGGAACCCCCGTGCTTGGCTTGTCTTCTGGAACCGTGCTCGGCTTGTGTTCTGGAGCCCCCGTGCTCGGCTTGTGTTCTGGAACCCCCGTGCTGGGCTTGTCTTCTGGAACCCCCGTGCTTGGCTTGTCTTCTGGAACCCCAGTGCTCGGCTTGTCTTCTGGAACCCCAGTGCTCGGCTCGTCTTCTGGCCGCTGGCTCGGCGTGTCTTCCTGAACCGTCTTCGCGATGTACTCTTCAGTCTCGATGCCCTTCTCAATGGGCGGTTCCTCCAAGCTCTCTCTGCTGAGACTGCCCAGTGCCAAGGTGGTGGCGGAATCCAGGCTCCTCAAAGATCTAGAGCCTTTTTCCTTCTCCGATCCACTGTCGCTCTCGCCATAAGATTCGTAGGCTCTCTCGAGCAGTGTTTCCAGATCTGGCTGGCTCTCTTCTTCTGCCTTAATCTCCTCCACAGCGCCCCGGCGGCCCCATTGCACAGATGAGGCCTGCCAGTCACCTGCACTCCAAGAGCCGCTACCCCAACCCCAACCGTCCCAGGACGATGGGGTGCGGCGGTACCATGAATCCCAGCCGCGTGCATCCCAGGCTGAGTGCCAGGACTCGTCGCCCCACCACTCATCGCACTTCTTCTCAGTCGGGGTATCCACAGACATGCTTCCGGGTGTCGCGAACTCTTTCGCCAGCACCTTCGGCCCCAATGGCGTCATTGTCGTCGACATGGGAGATGCCGAGGGCACCTGGCTGCCGGTCTCCGCAGCGGTCCAACCTCGATCTTACCGTTTTAAAGATTAATTGAACATACCCGTACCTCCTGCCTACTTACCTACCTGGCTGGCTACTGACCCAGCCATGTAGATCTATTGACATCTACAGCTGTCTATGTGTGTATCTACTCTCTAGATCTATTACTTATCGCTACCTATATTTCTACATATATACATATGTAGTTATAGCTTGTTGCCCTGCATATCCATTGTTCTGTCTACGTGTTTGTATCTACTCTGTAATGAAGATCTAGCAACCGTTACACATAATTTATTTATTTATAATTAATTAACATGATATATATATATATATATATATATACACGAACATGTATGCATGTGACCGATCATTTCTAGGTGTGCATGCCTGCATTACTGCATCCACGACAGCTTGCCATGTCTACCATCCAGTAGAGCTGCATGTTGTAAAGTTTCGGGTATTGGGTTGTTAGGTTGTAGGGCGATATGAATAATTGTAGCTTGGCTGCTCCGGCGAATCGGTGCTGGCGTAGAGGTCTCAGCAGTACTAGTAGTAGCCGTAGTCGAAGACTTCGGCCTCATCGACAATCCGAATCTTTCCCAAGTGTAGGGTTGCGATTTTAGGGTGTAGGGTTTAGAGCCTGCCGGACATTATAAGGTTTATTACATGGCTCTTAAGGATATGTATATATATATATATATATATATAGTATATTATACGGTTCGGTGTCTATATATATATATAGATATATATATATATATATATATATATAATATATATTATTATATATCCAAGGGTTCGGCTTTTAGAGGCCGGCCACTTGGGCCTAGGAAGTCATAGTGTCGACAGGGGTTAAGGGATTGAGGGTGTAGGGTATACTAGTACATAGATCGGAGTTGCATTGAGTGCTAGAGGCAACTGGAAGTCACACCCCAAAACCCATAATAAATTTGCAGAAAGACACGACTCTGGGGTCTTGGAGGATGGCGGCTGCTTCGCCTTCGCTGCTGGCACAGGCGGCGGGCCCTTTGTTGACAACCTTTTCGTAGGCACAGCAGCTTCTGCTCCGGTGCGAGGCTTCTTCATGTCCGGGCTTTTGATCGGGGTCCTGGGCTGGCATGCAAAAATTGCAGATTGAGGCTTGTAGCTCCGATGGTTTGCTGCGAAATACCTATTAAATGCCATACCGAGAGTCGACTTCGCAGACACAGAAGCCGGGGCAGGTGCTACTTTCGGGGTGGGCGTAACACCCTTGGCTAAAGCTGCCCTCGCCTTAGCCTGGGCAATGAACTTGCTCACGTCGGCCCCCGCAGCCGTGCAGTTGGATCCATTGCCACGTTTCATATCCTGCGTGAACCGGAGATTTTCGTAGGGCCACCTAAGGGGATTTGGGGCGTTACGGTTCCAGGCCCTGTGTTACGGTTCCGAGGCCTCCGGTTACGGTTCCGAGGCCTCCGGTTACGGTTCGGTTCCGAGGCCTCCTCCCCCACCCACCCTGCCCCTGGCGCCTACTGCCGCAGCCCTCACGGGTCGCCTCTTCCATTGCGCCCGGCTACAAATTGTCTGAAAATTTAGAGGAAAGCCTGAAAATCCCGAAGCAGGCGTTGTCCTGTATCCGCTTTGCCTGCACTCTCTGCAGGCGAGATGTCCACACCGCAGTCCTCAGAGGCACAAGGTGATATTTCTTATAACATGCTTCGGGTTTCTGACTTATAAAGCTTGTCGGGCTTGAGGGCTTCGGGTTTAGGCGTAGGGATCGTGGGTTTTTGTAGATGGGATACGACTTCTACATAATACATATAAGACATATACATACATACACACACATACATGCATACATACATGCATACACACATACATACATGCATACATATGTATGCAAATATTATATATATATATATATATGGATATAGATAGCTATATATATATATATATAGATATAGATATAGATATAGATGTAGATGTAGATGTAGATATATATAGATATAGATATTATATATAGATATAGATATAGTTGCAACATACCGTACCACATCATATCTCAACATATATTTCATAATATGTGATCATACCGTGTCATATCATGGCCATATCATATCACGATCTCATCTCATATATATATATATATATATATATATATATATCAATCACGATGCGTACATACCATAGCAGCATCCGTCCGTCCGTCCATCCATCCATCCATCCAACCATCCACCCATCCATCCAACCTTCCTTCTCATCCATCACAGACACACACATATATATATGTGTGTGTATATATATATATATATATGTATATCACATGGCTGATACTGGCTGCCTGCTTCCCTCGATAAGGCAGGCTCACTCTATCGGACTTCAGGACCTCGGGTTTAGGGCAGAGGGTTCGGGCGATGAAATTAAGGGTCCTATAGGTTTGGCGGTGATTCCTGTCGAACGGCGGTATATTGCGTTTCAGCACCGATCTAGTAAGTACATTACTGATCATGATCGCTGGATTGAATGCCAAGGGGTTAAAGGGGATAAGGGTCCCGTGCACACCGACATCGAGCATCCAGAGCATCTAAGCATCATGGGCAAGGTCGTCACAGTCGTCGCTGGCCGGTTTTGGAGCCGGACAAATTTCAGAACCAGCGGCACAAACGTGTCGAGACGATCAGGGAGCTCAAGGCCTCCGA